GCTATTTCTGACAGTTCCTTGACATTTACAGCGGTTGAAACATTGTATCTATTTATTTCCATTTAGGATACAGATGTTTTTATTCGGAAACAAATAGATACAATGTTTCAACCGCTGTAAATGTCAAGGAACTGTCAGAGAACTGTCAGAAATAGCGGAGCTCTCTGCAGAGACACTTTTTGCTGGACTGGAATTATTCTTATTTTCATCCTACTTCTTCTTCTTCTTCTTCATCCTCATCCTCTTCTTCTTCATCCTCATCCTCTTCTTCTTCTTCATCCTCATCCTCTTCTTCATCCTCATCCTCTTTTTCATCCTCATCCTCTTCTTCATCCTCATCTTCTTCATCCTCATCCTCTTCTTCCTCATCCTCTTCTTCTTTTTCATCCTCATCCTCTTCTTCATCCTCATCCTCTTCTTCTTTCTTCATCATCATCCTCTTCTTCTTCATCATCCTCCTCTTCTTTTTCTTCATCCTCATCCTCTTCTTCATCCTCATCCTCTTCTTCTTCTTCTTCATCCTCATCCTCTTCTTCTTCATCCTCCTCCTCTTCTTCTTCATCCTCCTCCTCTTCTCTTCTTCCTCCTCCTCTTCTTCCTCTTCTTCTTCATCCTCATCCTCTTCATCCTCATCCTCATCTTCTTCTTCCTCATCCTCTTCTTCTTCTTCTTCTTCTTCCTCATCCTCTTCTTCTTCCTCTTCTTCATCATCATCCTCATCCTCTTCTTCATCATCATCTCATCCTCATCCTCTTCTTCTTCATCCTCATCCTCTTCTTCTTCTTCTTCTTTCATCCTCATCCTCTTCTTCTTCATCCTCATCCTCTTCTTCATCCTCATCCTCTTCTTCATCCTCATCCTCTTTTTCTTCATCCTCTTCCTCTTCTTCTTTTTCTTCTTTTTGTCTTCCTCTTGCAGGTCACTGCTCATGCGCAGTTTTTTTATCGGTAAAAAATCGGCCGATTTGCCCACTAATTGCCGCGAAAATCGGCCGATCGGCAAAATCGGCCGATTTTTTTTTTCCAACTTTACCGAAAAAAAAAAACGGCCAAAATACCGAAAATCGGCCGACCAAATCGCCCACTAACGATCCGAAAATCGGCCGATTTTATTTTCGGCCGAAAAATCGGCCGATTTTCGACCCATCTATGGCCTGCATAACGGGAAATGATGTCATTTTGTGACCTTTGTGATCCTTTTTCGGAAAACGATCGTTCGTTTTTGACCATCAATGAGGATAAAGTCGGGCGTTTTTCGAAAATTTTCCAACATCACCGATAATCTGAAAGTCCAAAATACACGAAAAACGGCCGACAAAATCGTCCACTAACGATAAGATAATCGGCCGGTTTTATTTTCGGACGAAAAATCGGCCGTTTTTCTCCCCATCTATGGCCTGCATTAGTTTGGGTACAGTGTTGCACGACCATGCAACTAAAATAGCACAGTGCTAAGTAGCAAAAAATGGCCTGGTCAGGAAGGGGTAAAACCTTCCAGAGCTGAAGTGGATATTAACCTCCAGTATTTTAATTCATATAAAGCAAGGTTTGTATATGAAAACCAAATGATTGGGCTTGTATAATACATGATTATATGACGGTTTATTGCCGACTCAGCATGTCTTTTCATCTAAAATATAATGAAATCCATCAATGTCTACAGAATTCTCCCAAGGCTGCTGCACATTTATTGAATGGAAAACAGTGATAACAGTCCTCACAGTTGTTATTGTAAATTAAAGTGCATAGTCCTCAAATTTTTATCTAAGTAATGAATTGTTTTATACTACAATTGTTGGGTCAAAACAAGAAAGTGGTGTACACAAAAGGAGTAAAAGTTCTTCATTTTAGCAAAGCCAAGAAATTTTTGATCAGCCTGCAGTAGTTTTTACCATTTAATGACAAGGGTAAAACAAATCTTAAAGTGGTTCTAAAGGCTGAAGGTTTTTTCCCTTAATACATTCTCAGCATTAAGGTAAAAAACCTTCTGTGTTCAGCTTCTCCCCAGTCAACTCTTATACTTGCCTAAGCCTGATCTTGATCCAGCATTGTGCACTAGAGCAGCATCTCGCTCCGCTCTCTCCCTTTTCATAGGCTCAGAGACAGCAGTGGGAGCCAATGGCATTTACAGCCAGTGGGCACAGAGCTGAGGGGGTGGGACTGAGCCACAGTCTGTGTGTCTGTGGACACATAGTGCGCACCTCTGCATCGAACCTGCACAAGTGTCCCCCTAAAGCAGGTAGCATGCTGGGCACTTGGCAGGGGGAAAGATTTGAGAGCATTAGACCCCAGAAGAGGAGGATCGACACTGCTCTGTGCAAAACCATTGGACAGAGCATGTAGGTATACCATATTTATTTATTTATTTTTTTTCAAATTGAACCTTTACTATCACTTTAAAGGGGAGCTCCACCCAAAAAGGGGAAGCTCAGCTTGTTTGCGACGTACCCCCAACCCCCCCCCCCCAGCCACCTTTAGCACATTTTGTGAGGGGAGCGGGTACCTGGTTTTGACAAGGTGAACTGACCCGGAAGTTCATTCAGAAAGGGAATACTGTAGCATAGATCAGGGGTCTCCAAATTTTCTAAACAAAGGGCCAGTTTACTGTCTTTCAGACTTTGAGGGGGCCGGACTGTGGCCAGTGGGAGTAGAAAATGCCCTGTAGTCAATGGGAGGAATAGTGCCCCATCATTGGTGTCAGCAGAAGGAATTATACCCCACTTGTAATTAGGAGGAATAGTGCCCCAAGGCCCAGATAAAGGCAAGCAAAGGGCCACATCTGGCCCCCCGGGCCCCACTGGCATAGACCGATGCAAGGGACGTGCTTACCCACACAGGGTTGCACACGTGTTCCATGCATCCCCTTACAGGCAGTCCTATTCAAGTCAGTGGGGACACAGCGGCAGCACAGACGCAGCTGCTGCTTCCAATTTGCTTGATCCCAATCCATGCAGCTGCAAGTGCACAAACACATACTTGCACTTGCATGGATGTCAAATTGGGAGCAGTGGCTGTGTCTGTGCTGCAGCTGCATCCCAGTTGACAACAATTGGACTGCCTGCACAGAAAAACACGAAACGCATGTGCGTCCCTGTGCAGGTAAACATGTCCTTCACACGAGCATATGGTATAGTACGCCCTGTGTGATCGAGGCTATACTCGTGTTGCAGTACAGCATAAGACATATATGTGTTTGGCTGGCATTAAGTGGTCAAAGCACAAATTAAAGTGGAAGTAAACTCCCACTGGACACTTGTACCTACAGGGAAGCTTATAATAAAGCTTCCCTGTAGGTACAAAGTATATCTCCTAAACGTGCACCACTTGGGAGATATTCAGTGTCCCTGCAGCCGATGATGTCACTGGCGCATGCGCCCTGAAGGAACGGCTTACCCGTACCGTTCCTTCAGAGGTATGTGCCATGGCTGAGACTCCCACGTGCATGCCAATCAAGCAACCGGAACCTGGAAGGAAGACCTGGTGAACACGGAAGCCCTGTCAGCGGTGACAGCGCGCCTCTGGAGGGCTTCGTTCTAAGGTAAGTCTTTCATAATTTGCTAGTATGTGATGCCTATTAGCACATAACGACATTATTTTGCAGGGGAATTTTTTTTTTTTTTTTGGAGGTTTACCACCACTTTAAAGTATTAAAACCAATACACTTATTTTATTTATAAAAGTGCAGTGCTTAAAAAAGTGACAGTTATAAGAAAACAGTGAAAAATGTGTCAAAAAATAATCCATCCAAAATTAAAGGAAAAGGTGCCCCTGATGACGTTACATGTGACGAAACGCGCAGGGAGGAGCCACATACACACGCTACTACTGCGCATGCGCAAACGGCCTGCGGCCATTTTGGAAACTGGCACGTTTGGATTTTTTTGCCAATCAATGCCTAATGATGTTTGCTGACATGTGAGTGCAACCGTACTTTAAATAAATGTTGTGATTATGGTTTTACACTATGTGGAGCACTCTTTGCATGTTTCCCAATACGAGTCCAAGCCTTATCCTGAGTGGTTTTGCTACCCTAATTAAGGTCCATTGGAAGATCTTTATCTGCTCCTTTGGTGATCTGGAGGAGGATTCAAGTGACCGGCTTTCTGGGTTGTTTAACAAAGTGCGATTGACCACTCTTAACAAGGGGTCATGCCTTTCTGGTAAGCCTTCTGTATGAGTGGTTGGTGACACAGCAACTGTCCTTGGATTTCTTTTGTTTCATCACAGCCTCTGGGACTTTTCCTTTAATTTTAGATGGATTATTTTTTGACACATTTTTCACTGTTTTCTTATGATTATTTGTCACTTTTTTAAGCAGTGCACTTTTATGTATTTATTGTTTATTGCCTAGTATCAGGGTTTTTGTGTTCAGCTGCTATATATTATACACTTTAATTTTGATTATTGATCATTTATTTTTGTTAGCGCAGGTTTATGTATATATATATATATATATATATATATATATATATATATATATATATATCTTCAGTTATTTAATTTGCTCCCTTTTGGTTGGTTGAAAACTCTTGAAAATGATTTGTTATGTCTGTTTAGTAAATGGTGTGAGGTAATACATTCCTGTGCTGTCTGCCTATGCTGCACTCATCAGTTGCACTGTTCCCAGTTTTCTGTGTGGACTATAAAACACCTTCTCCCTATAATATGGAGAAGGGGGTATTCTGCCCTAGTCCTGCTCTAGGGTGACAACAGTACTCCTCCTTAGATACAGTGCAGAGCATTGAGCGTTGTCACTCTAGGCCAGAAGGTGTGTTATTGGTTGTGCAGTTACAAATGTCAACTTTTCTTTAGCTTTCACTTTTTTTAAACCTTTTTATTCAAATGCTAAAAAGTACAAAAGCATTGGTACATCAATCAGATATCTCCCTGAATTTAAAAAGGGATTTCCGCCTTTGTTAGTGCTGGCGAGTGCATGCTCATACAACCTGAAACTGTGTTCTAATTTCCTTTATCATAATTTTCTTTTCTCCTGTTCCCCAGACATTAAGCACAGACGGATACCAATTTTGTTTTTTGCTAACAAAATGGACCTAAGAGACTCTCTGTCATCTGTGAAGGTTTCTCAGTTGCTGTGTTTAGAGAACATCAAGGACAAGCCGTGGCATATTTGGTAATGGTTCTATTATTTTGAAGTGCGTGTGTGTGCACAATAAAGATGTTTTGATTGCTAGAAGTGTCTATAAACCAGAATACAGTTCTCCCTGTGCTGCAACTCTAAGCAGAAATGTTTTCTCAATAACTGTACTGCAGCGAGCATCAGGAGCAAAAAAAAAAAATTAAGGTGACAGAACCCATGGCGGAGTTATTACATTCTGGTTTAGCCATACTGCAGGTTTCTGGTGAATTCTGAAAGAGTCCTTCAGGTCTAAATCAAATAATAGAAAACAGGGGTCAATGTCTAAGGGGTCTATTTATAATTTTAAAAAAAAAAAATATATATATATATATAGAGAGAGAGAGAGAGAGCGAGAGAAGAGAGAGAAAGGAATGAAACAGGAGAAGGGAAGGGAGAGAGATAACGGAAAAACAGAAGAGGGTGAGGGAGGGAGAGGAAGGAAAAAATAGAAGAAGGGGGAGGGAAAGAGAGAAATAGAACAGGGGGGGAGGGAGAGAAAGGAAAAACAGGAGTGGGAGAGAGAAGATAAAAACAGAAGGGGAGAGAAAGAGAGCGAGAGATGAGAAACCGTAAAAGAGAAGAGAAAAGCCAGGGAAGAAAGTGAGGGAGATGAGAACAGCTTAAGAGAGAGAGACAAAAGGTAGAAAAGATGGGAAGTGGGAAACAGAGAGAAAGAGAAAGAAGGGAGAGAGACAAAAAAGAGAAGCTGAAAGTGAAGCAGCAATGGTGCGACAAAGAAAAAAAAAAACACCTACCCTGTGAAAAAAAAAAAAAATAGTGAGAGAGGAAAAATATACACACTGTATATACAGTTAGGTCCACATATATTTGGACACAGGCACAATTTTAGTTTTTTTCAGGTATTTACCAAAACATGTTTAAACTATAGTTATATAATGGATATGGGCTGAAAGTGCACACTCTCTGGTTTAATTTGAGGGTATGTACATCCAAACTGGAGGAAGGGTTTAGGAATTACACCTCTTAAGAGTAACCATCCCCCCTTTTTTCAAGGGACCAAAAGTAATTGGATAATTGAATCTAATCATAAATAAAATGTTCATTTTTAATATTTTGTTGAGAATCCTTTACTGGCAATGACTACCTGAAGACCAGAAGCCATGGACATTACCAAAGACTGGGTTTCCTCCTTTCTGATGCTTTGCCAGGCTCTAACTGCAGCTGTCTTCAGTTGTTCTTTGTGGGTCTTTCTGCCTTTAGTTTTGCCTTCAGCAAGTGAAATGCATGCTCAATTGGGTTGAAATCAGGTGATTGACTCGCCAATTGCAGAATATTCCACTTCTTTTTCTTCAAAAGCTCCTGGGTTGCTTTTGCAGTGTGTTTTGGATCATTGTCCATTTGTACTGTGAAGTGACGTCCAATCAACTTTGTTGCATTTGGCTGAATCTGGGCTGACAGTATATCTCTAAACACTGCAGAATTAATTAGGCTGCTTCTGTCTTCTGTCACATTATCAATAAACAACAATGACCCAGTGCCACTGGAAGCCATGCATGCCCATGCTGTCAGACTGCTTCCACCATGTTGTACAGATGACGTTGTGTGCTTTAGATCCAGAGCTATTTCAAGCCTTCTCGACACTTTTTTCTTCCCGTCATTCTGGTACAGATTCATCTTAGTTTCATCCATCCAAAGAATGCTTTTACAGAACTGGTCTGGATTTTTTAGATGTTTTTGGCAAAGTCTAATCTGGCATTTCTATCCTTCAGGCTTATGAATGGTTTGCACTTTGTGAACCCTCTGTATTTGCTCTCGTGAAGTCTTCTTTTGATTGTAGACTTTGACAATGATACGCCCACCTCCTGGAGAGTGTCCTTCACTTGTCTGGATGTTGTGAATGGGTTTTTCTTTCCCATAGAGAGGATCCTGTGATCATCCACCACTGTTGTCTTCCGTGGACGTCCATGCCTTTTTATGTTGCTGCGCTCACCAGTGTGTTCTTCTTTCCTCAGAATTTACCAGACTGTTGATTTGGCCACTCTTAATGTTGCTGCCATCTCTCTGATGGATTTGTTTAGTTTTTAAAGCCTTACAATGGCCTGTTTCTCTTGCATGGACAGCTCCTTTGAACACAGGATGTAGGTTCACAGCAATAGATTCAATAGATAAATGCAAATACCACACTAAGAATCAACTCCAGACCTTTTACCTGCTTAATTGATGAAGAAATAACGAATGAGTAGCCCACACCTGGCCATGAAACAGCTTTTGATTCAATTGTCCAATTGCTTTTGGCCCCTTGAAAAAGGGGCGATGGCTACTCTTAAGAGCTGTAATTCCTAAACCCTTCCTCCAATTTGGATGTACATACCCTCAAATTAAACATGAGAGTGTGCACTTTTAGCCCATATTCATGATATAACTATAGCTTGAATATGTTTTGGTAAATACCTGAAAAAAAAACTAAAATTGTGCCTGTGTCCAAATATATATAATCCTAACTGTGTATAGAGAGAGAGAATATATATAGAGAGAGAGAGAGAACACCAGAACACAAGAGTTCACCCAGGTCTCGTGAATTCTGAGTGTATTTGCTTAATACGTTGGTTTCCTTTGATCATCAGCTCCATCTAATGATCATAATGCAGTGTTTTTCCTAAAATATGTAAGCCAGGAAAAATACTTAGTTATGGCCACTATAAGGAGCTGATGATCATAGGAAATCACTGTATAGAGTCATAATTTGTGAGTGCTGGCCAAATGCCTGTGACATTCATCCCAACCTTTATTTATTTAAAAAAATAAATAAAAAAATAACTTCTAATCTTTTCGAGAGAGTTCAGAGTTCACCTGTGTGGGCATCTTCTACTAACCCTTATCATACCATTTTCATGCCTTGTAAGCCAGGATGAAGCTCAAAACACAGATGAACTAAAAATCTCTGTGTCTATAAAAAGACGTATTAGGCTTTACACAGTAGTGGTTGGGTCTCATTGATTTATTTATACCTATATAACAGGGAATATTCCATAGGTGGTGTTCTTTGGTTCCTTTTGTATAAGCCATGATGTTTTTTTCTTTGTTATAAGATAGGCTACTTACATTTATGGTAATTTTATTTATTGGTGACTGTTCTCACTTCATACTGTATGTACAGCTCTAGCTGTGATCAGACAATACCTATAACAGTGATCAACAACTGCCCTGGACACTGCGAATTTCCCCTATTTAGGAAATCCTTCCTTGTGTTGCTAAACCTAATTATAGAAAAAAAAAAAAAGCATACTGTTGTAGACCTCAGCATTTAACTTGTTTGCATGTCTGTTCTGCTTTTAACGCTGTGCCTGCTTTCAAATCCTCCATTAAAAATCCCCCCCGATTCCTGTCTTTGGGTGACTCCCTCCCCTTACAGGGACTCATGGAGTCACCTTTGCCTGGGTACATGGATGTGTCTCCTTATGTCTACTACTTCTCATACCTTCTGCTGCTAACTGACAGTGACTGGAGCCTGTACTGTCCCTGCTACACTGTTCATGTGAAGGGCACAGGGAGCACGCACCACTTCCCAAGTGTTTTTGGGAAGCGGCACTGAGGACCCGGAGCCGGCCGCAGTGAACAAGGAGGGTAATGTTAATAATTGGGCAAACATTAAAAAATGTACTGAGTAATGTTGCACTACATAACGTTATCCAGTACGCTTAATGAAAAGCAGAGAATTTAATACCACTTTAAAGAAACCTGGTGATGATTAATTTTATACTCAGTTCCTTTTCTACAGTGTCTTCCAAACAACTTTTTAATGAGCTTTCCCATTGTTGGTTCACATATTGGTTCCTGTTAATGTCAACACTTTTTTATTTTTCTAGTTATAGCTTTTTGATATAGTGGTCATCTCATACCTTTGCCCTTGGTTGTAAATTCTATATCTGGTATAACTGCTGTTCATGTACAAATTGTAACTGACCACTTGCTAGAGCTTGTACTATTTTGTTTGATTCTACTGCAATTCTACATGTATAACGAATATGTCTCAATTTACTGATATCACTGATCATGCCCTGTGCTGATACCCTCTTTTCTTTATCAGTGCAAGTGACGGACTGAAAGGTGAGGGCCTTCAGGAAGGAGTGGACTGGCTACAGGGTAGGTGATGTGTTTTTTTTTTTTTTTCTTTGTCGCATCATTGCTGCTTCACTTTCAGCTTCTTTTTCTCTGTCTCTCTCCCTCTCCTTTCTTGCTCTCTTTTCTTTCTTCTCCCTCTATCCCCCACTTCCCATCTTTTCTACCTTTTTGTCTGTTTGTTTGTCTGTCTCTCTCTCTCTCTTCCTCTTAAGCTCTTAAGCTGTTTCTCATCTCTCTCCCCTTCTGTTTTTATCTTATCTCTCCCCCTCCTTCTGTTTTTTTCCTTTCTCTCCCCCACCCCCCTACCCCCCTTCTGTTTCTCTGTCCCTTTCCCTCCCCCTCTCCTGTTTTTTTCCTTTATCGCTTTCCCTTCTCCTGCTCTCTCTCTCTCTCTCTCTTCTTCTTCTTTTTTTTCCTCTCTCCCCCTCCCCCCCTCTCTCTCTCCTGCCCCCCCTCCCCCCCTCTCTCTCCCCATATCCCCCTTCTCTCTCTCTAACCCCCTATCCCCCCTCTCTCTCCCCCTCTCTCTCTCCCCTTCTGTTTTTTCCTTTCTCCCCCCCTTTGTTTCTCTCTCTCTCTCCCCTCCCTTCTCCAGTCCCCCTCCCCATCTCTCTCTCTCTCCCAAAGCAGCTGAAACTGATTCACAACCCTCTCTGCTACTTAACTGACCAGATCAATATCCCTGGACTTTAACTGACTTGACGCTATTCATATTCATTCTCTCTCTCTCTCTCTCTCTCTCTCTCTCTCTCTCTCTCTCTCTCTCTCTCTCACACACACACCCTCCCCCCTCTGCTGTTTTTTCCTTTTCTCTCTCCTCCTTCTGCTGTTTTTTCCTCTCTCTCTCTCCCCCCTCTGCTGTTGTTTTCCTTCCTCTCTCTCTCTTTGCCCCCCCCCCCCCCCCCCCTTCTATTTTTTCCTTTCTCTTTTGCTCTCCCTTCTTCTGTTTTTTTCCTCTATCTTTCTCTCCCTCCCCTTCTCCTGTTTTTTTTACCTCTCTCATCCCCCTCTCCTTTCTCTCTCACCCCCAACTTCTGTTTTTTTTCCTTTCTCTCTCTCTCTCTCCCTTCTTCTGTTGTTTCTCTCTCTCTCTCTCTCTCTCTCTCTCTCTCTCTCTCTCTCTCTCTCTCCCCCCCCCCCCCCCCCCTTACGTTTTTTTCCTTTTTCTCTCTCTCTCTCCTCTGTTCTCTCTGTCTTTCCTTTCTCTCGCCTTCAGTTATTTCTTTCATTTTGTTATTTCAATTTCTTCTGCTATCAGATCAAATCACGCAGTGAGTATAGCTGCATTCATTTGCTTATTTTGTTTTGTTGCTTTCAGTCTTTAGCGCCATACTAGATCTTTTTAAAATTGCTGTTTGTCACTTGGTATCAGGCTGGCCACAAACATATTGCCCATTTATTTCAAGTTTATTCTTTTTTATTACAGTACTTCTCTTAGGAATGTATATGTATTAAACCTCTAATAAAGATATAAAAACCTACTAGTTGTGAATGTTACAGTTTGTCTTTTTCATTAAAATTACAATTTAAGTTATAGATAAAGATGAGAACTGGAAGTGATTTGAAAGTGGCCATGTGCAGTGCAGTAAGATTCTTAAGTATAGGGGATTTTCTAACACACGTCATTACAGACAGTCTTTGCTAAGTCTGTTTTAGGTCTGTGCACACAGGCATCAAGCAGGGGAGCTATTAATAAATAAAACTGATAGTTTGTAATACAGTGTTATTAAAGCATGATTCCTTTATTCTTTTTTTTGTGAAGATCTGCAATAACATTAATAAAATCCTTGGTATGTAAAACCGGTTAGTGCAGTGCTCAGTACAGACAAGCTTGCAGGAAAGCAAATGCCCAGCTTTGTGTTGCATTCCCCCAATGTGGACTGCGGCTTGTTGGCTGCATTTGACACCATAAAACCTGTTCATTTTTATAGTCCCCCGTCCTGCTTTTTTTCCAAGTTGGCCTGACCCAGCAGGAGTATGGTCAAACAAAATAATGTGCTAAAATGTTTGCATTTATATTTGTGCACAGTGTTTGTAATTATTTTATTATAAGCTAACATTTTACATTTGCTGATCTTGAAAGCATTTTCCTGTAGTCCCACCTGCAGTTTACACAGCACAAAACAGACTGGGGTGCCTTCACACTATTCACATTATTCCTGTAAAAATGATTACAGCTAAATATCTCCCTAGCAGTCTGACAGCTCTTCCCAGTCAATTGCCTGAAGCTGCTGGCAGTTTGATTGGCAGAGCTGTGCTGTCAGTCAGTAGCTCTGCCTCTGGGTCTGTCAGTCACATCTGACACTTTTAGGAAAACTACTACAACTCTTAATGCTAAACTCCAAGTAAGCCACTAAATACACCATTAAAATACATGTATGTAAACTGCCAAAAGTTGTAAAATTCTTTTCAAGCACTCTTGTAATCCAGCTATAGTCAGGTCCTGCAGTTATGCAGTACAGCAAGGGTTATAACACACCCAGGTCTAAGTAGTTGGACAGCAAGAAGTAATGGAGCACAAGCACACTGATAAGCCATCATTTTTCTCAAGCTTCCTCTCCTCCTGTCACCATGTTACCTGTGTTAAACTAACAGCACTGTGCACTGCAGTAAAACTTGGTTGGCTCCATGCCTTCTCCTAGTCCTGCAAGTAACTATCAAGATAAATGCATGTACTTGTCATATACCATTTGAATTTAAAAATACATTAAAGTGAAAGTAAAGGCAAATCCTAACTAACTCTAAACCTCCTCTCAGCCACTTTATAAAGCGGCCATAGGTGGTTTAAATCTCAGCCAGTTCAGCAGCGACCGTCCAAGATACAAACCATGTATTGGCAGGCTAAATGTACCAAAGCTGATCGAACCAGCCTGTCAGGTTTTATATGTGATTATTGCAGGCATCTATTATAGCTGCTAGCAGTAAGCACTGTGTTCTCCCAGCGGGGACACAATGGCTGTACTGGAAGGATTCTCCCCATCAACACTGAATGTTGTGATGGGGGAATCAAGCCATTTTCTTTCCTGCAACCTGTGGTTGCAGGAAAGAAAATCAAACCGTTTGTGGCTGACTTTAGCCTAATCTATCTAGCCCTGTAAAGAAAAAAATCATTATACTTACCCGTTTTGCAGCTGCTCTGGTCCTGTCCCACGCTGAGCTGTCGGCAACGACTTCACTGCGTAGGAGTGTGTAGGAGAGGCAGCCAACAACAGGAGCGCCATAGTAACTTAATGGGTGACATCACCACCCAGGCATTTCCCAGCCATTGTAGGCTGTGTCCTGCACACAGAGGGCATCACTGCTGACCAGACTGGAGCTGCAGAACAGGTAAGTATGGCAATTTTTTTTTTTCTTTCCAGAGCTAGATTGATTAGGCTTAGAATATGACTATGGGTAGGTTTAGAGTTAGTTAGCATTTTCCTTCACTTCCACTTTAATTGATTTTGTAACAAATGCACGACTGCCTTTGGTGTTTAACTGTTTCAGAGCTGATTTTCTCTTAATACAAGTCAATTGGAATGCAAAAGCAACTGGATGAAGCTGAGCAGGCCAAATCTACTTGTGAAGGGACTCATGTCTGTGTCAAACACAAGCTGTATATATCTGAAAACACACTGTGTTTGCCTATCTATACACGCCATAAAGAGTGATCACTATTAAAAAATGTTTCCTTTATGTGATTTGAGCGCTGCCATGTTGTCTTCTCCCAGCAAGGGCTGTAGGGTGGTGCCATTCTTCAGTTAGTCGGATAACCTTTTGATATCCTGTCCATGTACACTGCCACTTGGGCATTACTGATTATGTCTTCAGCACATGAAAGACTGAGGCTTCTTTGCAGAAAGCTGTCAAGAAAGATTGTGTGAGATTACAGTATGTCATAGGACCAGGGGCAAGAATACTGAGCTTTTCATGTAACTGAAAAAGGAAAGGCTCAAGCAGTACAAGAAATGCATCTCAACCTATTCCTGTGTTGAGACTTACATTGCTGGTATAACAGGAATGTTATACTAGTAGTATTATATATCATAACCATGCAGGGGAATATGACTCGCCATAGGAATGAATGGAACTGTGGTGCGTGTGCATACTACAAAGAGGAGCTGGTGGGGATGCTTTTGTTAGAAAGGCTTTGTGGAGCTGGACAGGGCCACACAGTAAAGATCGCTGGAATGGGAAGAAAGGTGGACTCCAGCCAGGAGAACTATAATTATACTGGTGCTTCCTTACCTTGTCTATAAAAAGCTGGTTGTTTTTTTATACTTTTCATCCCCTCCAATGTGCTCCTGATTTTCTCTGTTTCATTGTTTACTCCTGGTCATGTATCCACCTCCGTATAGTTTATAGCCTGTGATCAGTCCACATGTCCATGAATTCATATGGTATCATGGGAAATGTAGTTTAGCTTGCAACATTGTACATATGTTGATTATTGAAAGCGCTGCATCTCCACATCCTCCACCACGTCCCAGGAAAAGCGGTTCATTATGAAAAATCAGATGAACCCACATAGCCTAAAATTAGCAAGTACTCAAAAAACAAAATTGCACTTTTAAAGGTGAATTCCAATGTTTGGGAATTTTTTTACAGCTTTGAACCAATGTAAGTATGTACCTATGTTTCATACCTGGCCGATCCGCATGGAAGCACTGCTACTACAGTGCGGTGTGGTCCAGTGCTGAACAGCTGCCCTGCTGATTACTGAACACAAAAGTCGCTCACTCAGCAGTGCTTACTACAATGATTTCCCTCTTCTGCAGGCATCCCACAGGCACATATATACTGACATTGGTACAAGCTAGATCAGTGTAAAAACTGGCATACCTGGAGTTCAGCTTTGACATCTGTGCTGTCATCCTGTACTAATTTTTATTTACCTAGGTTTGTGACAGGTTTACTTTAGGAGTGTAGATTCAGATGCTTACAAATATTTATTCAGGACTGGCTCTTTTTGATTCCCCAGTAATGACTCCAAAAATGGTCAGCTAGATATCTATCTTAACGTGATCCTGTGCCCAGACTATGC